TGTTTGGGATCACAGGGAGCACAGGTGCAGGGAGTGTTTGGGATCACAGGGAATTCCTCTCAGGGATTGTTTGGGCTCATGGAGAGTTTTCACTGTAGCAGCTCTGAGGTAGGCTTGGACAATGTAAGAAAAGCTCGGTTACTATTTTGTAGTGTCAGTACTTTCCACACTGAGAATTCCGAAGGGACAAGTCCCTTTTCTCTGCTGGCATGTCAGGGGAATTCCAGAATGTGTGGAATACATCCCTTATCCTAATTTCCTGTGCTGAGTTTTTTCCTAATGAAGAAACTGATGTATAATGGTGGTTTTTCCCTTCTCAGCTGCTTATCACTGTAGCTTTTAGCCAGCCTGTCAAGCTGTACTCGATGAAACTGCAGGGGCCAGACAACGGTGAGTGCTGCACACAGCATTATTTATTATTTATTGATTGATTTATAGGCTAAGATTATAGATTGATATACAAATAAAAGTGTTTATTAGATCTTGATACACAAGTAGAAGTGTTTATTGTCGTTTGATACACAAATAGAAGTATTATACCTTGATACACAAAGAGGAGTATTTATCATACCTTGAAATACAATAGTATTTATTATAATTTGATATACGCAAATATAGGTATTTATATACCTTAATACACAAATAAAGTATTTATGATGCCTTGATACACAAACAGAAGTATTTATTGTTTATTATTGATTGATAGGCAAAGATTATGGGTTGATACACAAATAAAGGTGTTTATTCTACCTTGATACACAAATAGAAGTATTTATTATAGCTCGATACACAAATAGGAGCATTTATAAAAAGTATTTTAGTATAAAGTATAACAATTTTAAAAGTATTTCTTGTAGATTGATACACAAATAAAGTATTTATTATACCTCGATACACAAATAGAAGTATTGTAGTTTGATACACAAATAGAAGTATTTATTATAGTTTGATACACAAAAAAATCTTGATTACACATTGATACATGAATAAAAGTACTTCTTGTCATTTGATAGACAAGTACAAATTTTTAAAATAGAATGGTACCCAAATAAAGTACTTATTGTCGTTTGATACACAATTATAACTACTCATAATAGATTGATACACAAATCAAGTGTTTGTTATAGCTTGATGCACAAGTATAACTACTTAAAATAGATCGATACACAAATACAATTCTTGATTGTAGTTTGATAGCCCAGTATAACTACTGATAGTTTCATCCCCTGCAAAGAGACACGGGGATGTAATTCCAGGCTGAAGTGAGACTCAGCTTTTCCCTTTTGCAGTAACTCAGTTTACATGGCACAGCAGCATTGCGTTCCATTCCATAAGGACAGGGATTGTGGAATAACGCCCACAGACAATCCCACCCCTCTCTCTCCAGGACAAGGCCCCAAGTACATCAAGATGTTCATCAACCTGCCACGCTCCATGGACTTTGAGGAGGCGGAGCGCAGCGAGCCCACGCAGGCCCTGGAGCTGGGCCCCGAGGACATCAGGGAGGATGGCATCATCCAGCTGCGCTATGTCAAATTCCAGAACGTCAACAGTGTCACTGTGAGTGCCTCTGTCCTGGGGCAGCACAGGGATCTGTCTCAGTCAACACAATCGATGCGTGTTCATTCACTTCCTGCCAGATCCCACTGAGGCTGGCACTTCTTGGGTGCTGGGTCTGAATGGGGAAATCCCAGCTGGGGGGGCTTGAGCACACTGCCAGGAAACAGCATTGAAACGAGCACAGAGATACAATTAGCATTGGCAGTTGTCATTTGAGTTGTTTTTGCCTTTTCCCCTGTGCAGTTGTTTGTGCAGTCCAATCACGGTGATGAGGAGACGACACGAATCACGTATTTCACGTTCATTGGCACTCCGGTGCAGGCCACCAACATGAACGACTTCAAACGAGTGAGTGCCTTGCTGAGCCCTGGGGAGCAAACACCGGGGAGGGGGACACAATTCACACCTGGGGTGCTTGGGGAAAAGCTGCAGCTCTGTCCTGCATTTCTGCTTTTAACCATCAGCTGGGTCAGAAGAAATGGTAAGGACTGAAAGCATGAGGGGCTGGCAAGTTACACGCACCGATTTTTTTGGTTGTTTTTTTAATAGCTGTGAGACTTAGATCTTGATTTTGGGATTCTCTTTATTGGCACGTTCCTTGTAAAAAGTCCTATTTCAAAATACAGTGCTTTAATAATGAACTGATGGTACAAGCACCCTCTAATTGCAGAAGGTGAAAAGCACTAACACCAACATGGCACCTACTTAATTTTTAGCAGCAAAACTTGATCTTAAGTAAACTTAAAACTTAATTCCTCTGCTGCTAATAAGTTAATAAAGGAGTTTAACAGCTTTTGCTGCCCTTCGCTGCCACTCAATTAAAAAATGTTTTACTGCTCTAAAATAAATACAGATTTTGGACCTCCCTCATTCTCCCCAGACTAGAAATACATGAATTGAATTTTGATCTTTTTCCTTTGGATTTCTGTGGCTGTTTAAGCTGCCTGGAGAAGGTGGATACAGCAGCCAGGGAATGATGCTGGGAAGGAAAATGCACTGGGAAGGAGCAGCAGTGGATTGGGAGCTGCCTTAGTCACAGCCTCATGGACAGTGTGGAATGATCATATTGCTGTTTTCCTTCCTGCACATGGAGTTTGAGGAGAAGGGAGCTCTTTGCCTTGAGGGAGAACGTGCTGCTGGTGTGCTCAGAGAGCAGTGGGCAGAGCCAGAGATCAATACTGGCTGGCTCAGGTGTGCTGGTGTCCCTCTGGAATAATCCCCTGCTTTCTGCTCGGCCCTGCTCCTTTGCAGGAGGCTTTGGACACATTCTGCTGCTGCTTTGCTTCTTGTACCACTCCTTCTGTTTGTTTTCCAGCTTAACTCCCCATTCCCACTGAACTAAACAGGCAGAAGAAATCCAAAGTAATGCTGCCATTGGTGTGGCCTCGCTCTCCTCCCTCGCTGTGCTCAAATCCTGCAGCATTCCACCCCTGCCTCACCAGCTCAGCTCTCCCTGCTCACATCCTGCTTTCAGTGCTGCTCTTTCCCAAATTCTGCCCCATTTCTGTGCTGGCCTTGGCACTGGGAGGTGCCACCAGGGAGTGCTGTAGGATCCAGCCTGGACTGAATGTCCTGGTGGGAGGGAGGAGATTGGATCAACCTGAGGGGAATAAAGAAAATAAAAGGGGGAAGGTGGGGTGGGATGGGATACTGAAATATCCATATCCATGTGCTGGGTTTTCCAGATAATACACATGGGCCACTTGTCCCTCTCTGCTTCTGACTGGTATAGAATATTTCTGTTGATATTCCATACTTGCTAACACCTAATCCTTAATCCTTTAACTCTGGTTTTCCTTTTTTTCCCCTCGCTTCTTCACCTAATCTGTGTGAACGGAGTTTGGAATCACGCCAGGAATAAACAAATTCACAGGAATGCCAAGTTTAACTCTGGCAGTTAAAAATGCTTTTCCTAGCAGCTCCTAATGATTGTGGGGTGCAGAACTCAGCTGGACAGGGAGAGTTCCTCAGCACAGGGAAGCAGCAGAACAGTGTTTCCATTTTTATGGTTATTCTGTGATTTCTGCAGCTCCATGGGGTTCAGGGTTGGGAGGGCTGGGGGTTTGTTTGGTAATAAGCGAAACCCATGGATTTCTGGGGGATTTTCCTGGGTTCTCCAATTTCCTGGGAGTTAAAACCCCATGGATTTCTGGGTGGTTTCCTGGGTTCTCCCATTTCTTAGGAGCTGCATGCTGAGGTTTTTGTCCTGAGGGAGGAAGGGAAGGGACCTGGAGCAGCCACGGGGGTTCTCCCAGCAGAGTTTCTCTGGGTATTAAACCTGGCTTGGGGTGTTCTGCAGGCCCAGCTCTAACTAGGCCAGGCCTAGCACTAAACCC